AATATTTATCTCTATCTATCTAACAGCATTCCCTCCCCTTCCCTCCCACCCCTGGTAACCAACAAAGAAAATGTCCTCCAATATATAAACATGGCCAAATGATTTTTGACAAGGATGCCACATGCTTTTAATGGGGAAAGAAGACTCTTCAATAAATGGGGTTGGGAAAATTAGATTTCTACATGCAAAAAAATGAAACAGGACCCATGCCTTACACCATACACAAAAACAAATTCAAAATGGATTAAGGACCTAACTGTGCAAACTAAAACCATAAAGTGCTCAGAAGAAAATACAAAGGTAACACTGTTGGGCCTAGCTTTTAACAATGGATTATCTAATATAACAAAAGCACAAAGAGCAAAAGACAAAATAAACTAATGGAATCTCATAAAAATTCAAAACTTTTGTTCATCGAAAGATTTTACCCAAAAAGACAAGGTACTGACTAGGAAAATATCTTCAGAAACCATACACCTTATAAGAATCTAATACCAAAATATACTAAAAAAAAAAAAAAAACAAAAACCAACTCTGATAATAACAAAAAGATAAATTACCCAAGCATAAAATGGGCAAAGAACCTGAATAGACATTTCACCAAAGAGGACGTTCAAATGGCCACCAAACACATGAAAAGATGCTCGACATCATTAGCCATCAGAGAGATGCAAATGAAAACCATAATGAGATAATGAGATACCATTTTACTCTCACTAGGATGGCTAAGATGAAAAGAACCAGAAATAACAAATGTTGGCAAGGATGTAGGGAAATTGGAACTTTTATCCATTGCTAGTGGGAATGCAAAATGGTACAGCCAATGTGGAAAACAGTGTGGCATTTCCTTAAAAAAATAAAAATAGAACTATGACCCAAAAATTCCACTCCTAAGTATATACCCAAAAGACTTGAAAGCAAAGAATCAAAAGGAGAATTGTACAGCAAGGTTCACTGCAGCATTATACACAATAGCCACAAGGTAGAAACAATCTAAATGCCCATGAACAGATGAACAGATAAACAAAATATGGTACATACATACAATGGGACACTACTCAGCTAGTAAGAGAAATGAAGTCTTGATACATGTGATAATATGGATGAAACTTGAAATCATTATGCTGAGTGAAATAAACCAATCACTAAAGGACAAATATTGTATGACCTCAGTTATACAAAAGCACAAAACCCTCACTTATACAAAAGCACAAAACCAAAAAAAAAAAAAAAAACGACTGCCATCAAGTCAATTCCGACTCATAGTGATCTCCATTGGGTTTCCAACGCAGTAAATCTTTACAGAAGTAAATTGCTCAGTCTTGCTTCTGCAGAGTGGCTGATGGGTTTGAACCACCAACCTTCTGGTTAGCAGTCAGATGCCTTAGTCACTGTGCTACCAGAGCTCCTCACATTAAAAGGCAGGAAAAGGCAAATGTGTAGAGACCTGGTAGTTGTTACCAGGGGCAAGAGGAGAAAAAGGGGAATTACTGCTTAAGGAGTTCTGAGTTTCATTGTATAGTGATGGAAAAATCACACTGATTAAGAATAGGGGTGCACAGCCAGATATTATAATTGCTACCAATAAACTGTATACCTGTAAAGAGTTGAATTGGCAAAAGTTGTATGATAGATATATTTACAACAACCAAAAGGAAAAAAAAAAAAAAAAGAGTTGTGGTAAGGCTGATTATGTACAATGAAACATCTCATGGGATCTGTTTCCTTGGTTTGGAGGTTTAGAGTCATGGTTTCATGGGACATCTCAGTTAACCGGCCTAATAACATACTTAGTGCTTCTGCCCTACCTCCTAGTTCATTGTGTAGTGCCTGGGGTATTAAAAGCTTGCAAGTGGCCATCCAAGGTACAACAATTGGTCTCTATTCACCTGGAGCAACAGATGAAGAAGAGAATCAGGAATAGGAGGAAGATATGGAATGTGTGGCTAACTGCCTCCATGAACAACTGCCTCACAACTGCCTCTTTGCCATGAGACCAGAACTGGACAGTGCCCAGCTGCCATTACTGAAAATTTTGATCAAAGATTTTATAGAAGAATCCTGATCAAAAGGAGGAAAATGCAAAACAGAATTTCAAATTCTCATGGGCTATAGGCTTTCTAGGAGCTCTGGTAGCATAGGGCCTAAGGCACTTGACTGCTAACCAGAAGGCTGGTGGTTTAAACCCACCAGCCACTCCTCGGAAGGAAGGTTGGGCAGTCCTACTTCTGTAGTGATACTGCCTCGGAAACCCAAGGAGGGGTCGCTATGAGTCGGGGCCGACTCGATGGCAAATAACAACAAACAACAACATAGGCTTTCTGAAGCCATGGAGGCTGGATCAACCCCTGAAACTATTTCCCTGATAATCGTTAAGCCTTAAACCAAAAATATCCCTGAAGTCTTCTTAAAACTGAGCAATCGTTTAGCTTCACTAGTGAAGAATGCCTGCCTTGAGCATCATGCTCTTCTTTCAATTTTTATTTTTTATTTTAAAAGCCTGTTTTACATTCAGTGTTATGTGTACATTTAGTTTCCCTCCCCATTTACCATGTCCATCTCTAACCCAGTCTCCTCCCCTCCCTACCCTGTAACCCTCCCCCCGTGCCCCTCAAATTTATGCACTCTTGTTTGTCCTGCTTTTCCTCAATTTGAATGTTGGTCCTCTTGTGCCCCGTGGTCTATTGCTCTACGGGATGTATTACCATAGAGTATGTGGGTGCATCCTCCTGGGTTGAGTGGTCCATGTGTACATCTTGTTAACTATTGGGCTGAGAGCCTGCCCCTGGGGGTGAGTTTTATTCTAGGGTGCAGAATGTATTCCAGGGCCATAGTATTGGGGGTCTCATCAGACTCCATCTGACCAGTAATTCTGGTCATTATTGAGTTTTTGGATTTTGTTCCACATTTTTCCTCCCAGTCTATCCAGAATCTCCAGATTTGAGCTTTTCCTGAGTGGTTGGCATTGGTAGCCAGGCACCAACTAGTTCTTCTGGTCTCGAGGGGCCATTGTATCCTAGGGCTGATTACTTCCAAATGCCTTGTTTTTTTTGTTGTTGTGTTGGGTTTTTTTCTTTGTTTGTTTTTGCATTCTTCTTCACTTCTGATGCTAGGAGACCATTAGCTGCATCTTAGATGGCCGCTTGAAAGCTTTTAAGACCCCAGTCACTACTCACCAATGTAGGATACAAAACAAGGCTTTTATGTATTTTGTTATGCCAATTGAGTCTGGTGTCCCCCAGTACTACAGTCCTGAGGTGGTAGATCTATTAAATCTGTCTCCTGTAGTGTCTGGGTGTCTGTGAGGGATTACTCCGTGTCTGTCTTCTATTGTTTCTGTAAGGATTGCAGGTATTTTGTATCACTAGTGTCTGTGCAAGATTAGCCTCAGCTAAATCTATTCTTGGTCTAGAGTATACTCCTGTTCACTGACCCCCATCTGATTCTCTCAGGTGTTTATGTGTTTATCTGTAGCCTGGTGTTTGGTGTTAATAGTAACACAGTATTGTGGACACATTGGTTGGTATTAGCATCTGTCATCTATCTCTTATGTTCACAATTTGGTGTCCTCCCATTTCCTAATGTTATCATGGTGGTCACAGACCCTTTCTGTATATCCTTCCCTTACCCACATCAGCGTGTGGGCCCCAACTAGCCTGAAATTAATATCTCCCCTTCCCTCCC